TGCCGGCCCAGCCTTAAATGGTGACAGTAGTAAAAATGTGTACGTACACACACGGATAAACTGTGAGTATGTATGGCATGATTACAGAAGTCTACATTTCAAATAGACAAGACCTGAACATGTATTTTCCATTTAGTATTTTCATCAACACACTTAAAGGTCGTTTTGATTTCCACCTCTCTGGTGCTGTTTGACAAAAAAACACCCTAAGGAAATTGCCACTGCCATCCTATGTCTAGTGTGGATGCATCAAAAGCCCAACAAAATCCATTTAATGGCACTTTTAACTCAAATGCACATATTCTCACCACACAATGAGAAGACAAACTTTTCATATTTCTTTCCTATAAACAGCCTGTTGCAGGAAATACTCAAATGCCAGAGAGTTTAAGGAGAGATATTGGTGGCTGAGCAAGTATCACAGATGGAATGAAAACTTTGGAACAGTGGAACAAGCACTTGTGAACCAAGGTATAATCCATTCCTGTACACATACTCCTCACAGTGCTTCTGTATACATGGACCTCCCGTGGCACAGGAGGGGGGAGAAGACACAGGGAAGGGCAGCAACTTTACCCATTCTAAACGTGAAAACTGTGGATTCATTGCAACAGTTTAAAATACTGAGTGCCTGACTCAGAGCCCTGTTTAGAGAGTGTGAAAAGCACCAGTAAAATGCTTGGCAGTAACTGAACTAGTAACCACGGCACCTTCTTAAGAAAACGGTCTGAAAACAGAGAATATTAGTTTTGAGATGAATTTGACAATGAGGGTGAGGGAAGCTATGTCCAAAATGTAAGCAAAAGTTAGAAAGTTACTTAATTAGTGATCAGGGATCATGAAATCTTTCTCATCAAGAAAAACGAAAGAACTGTTTGTGGCTCTGGAAGGAAAAAGACACAGGCAGGATGACACCCCACCCCTCAGAGACCTGCCACTTCATGGCGCATGAACACTGTGGACAAACAGCACAAGAGGATCACACCTCCGGACAGAGCAGAAGGAGTGAGATGCCCATTCCCAGTTGATCCTACCTGTCTCAGACCGTTTCTGCAAGGAGTGCATCTCCTTGGCAATATCTTGTGTTAGCACAGCACAACAGATTTGCTGTGCAGCTGAGCTGAGGCTGCATGTGCTGATGAGAAGCAGGGAAGAGGAATCCTGACAGTGGGGCCAGTATTTTCATATTGTGGGTGTGAGGAGTATGGGAGTTCTGAGGAGATAGAAATCTCATCCTTCAAAAGAGAGAAAGGGCAAAAGGAGAGGGGGAGGAGAGGTGATAAAGTGCTTGGAAGAAAAAAAAGTCTGTTTTTCAGGACGGAAGCACAGGATAAAATCCACCCAAGACAACCAATGAGTTCTGCTGGGTTAGCACATTGGTTAGAAGATGTAACATGCCCAGACAATGCTTAGTAGCAGCACTAGGTCTCCAATACAATGTTTCAAACAAAAGCCAAACCCTAACTTAAATCCAGTATCTCCAGCCTTTTCTTTTTTACAGTGTATATAAATGCAGTAAATGATAAAATTCAACCAGATCAGCATGGAATTAGGATGGAGAACGAAGTTAAAAAAGCTCTTGATCTTCTCAAGTAACTTCCTACGTTATGATTTCACATCTTCCTTTGCCGACAGAATACATACATGCTGCTCTAAAGATATGACGGCAGCAGAAAAAAAAAGTCATTATTTTAGTATGAAAAAAGACAATTTTGAACAGCAAGCAGAATCACTCTGTGATGACCTTAAAACAAGTACCAATAATATTAATTTGTCAAAGGCAACGCTACATGCATGGAAGCAGATACCTTGCAATTCTTTCATTGTCGCTTGGCATGTCAATATCAGGATGGAACTGGTAATGAAGAAATTCTGTACCAAACAGGTCATACTCTAAATAGCATCCAAGTTTAGCAAATTCCAGAAGTTTCTTTTTATCAAATATGGTCCTGCAGAACATATATAACACAAGTCAGCATTGTAACAGAAAGAAAAAAAATCTCATGGTATGAGGATAGGTATTTTGTGACTTCCTACTTGCAGTGAACAAAAACAGTAATCTAAGATTTAATTCACCCTTTTGAGAAACAGGACTCCTGTTTGACACATGCAACTTAAGCTGAATCACAGCATTGGCTTTGTTACATTCATCTTGGACTTCATGCATTAAAAAACCCAAAACAAAACCAACTCTTCCCCCATGAAATAATGAAAACATTTATGATACTCTTTAAATGGAAACAGGAAAGTTACTTACTTTTGATATCACTAACCCTCTCAACAGACAACCTAACAAGGAAGGACATTTAAGGAGGAGGTTAATTCATAGTGACATTTAAAAAAAAGACAATGGATTACTTACACAAGACAGATTTACTTTCCCAAAAGAGTTACAGGAGACAGCTACATCCAGGGCTTGTTTCATCCATCACACACTGGTAATACACAACTTTGTCTTTAGTTTCTATTCTGTACTGTGAGGTTTCTAGATTGTCATTAGAACAGCAATATATCACTGTTTGCACTGGGATCTGGCCAGAATGCCTTAAGGAAACACTCTTACCAAAATATGTAATGGCACTGTGAGTACCTGGGACACGGGCTTTGCAGCAAATTTGCAAGTGAAGGAACAAAGCTACTAAAACCTATCACTCATTTGGAAAAGAATGGCAACTGAAACAAGAGCTCTCTGGAATATTTTTTTTCGTTTTAACATTTTTACAAAGAGTATAAGCTATCCAAAGGAAAGCAAAACCACTCAAATGATACATTATAATTTTATCTTTATAACCACAACACAATTTTTTTCATCTAAGGAAAAAAACAAGTTTCCACAAGAACAGCACAGTTAACCAAAAGGGCAGTATTTTCATTTTTTTATTATTGCAGCTATTCATGTCACAAAGTAATTTTATCCTATACAATTACATCACAGTCTGTTGCTATGGAAATGACTGATGTCACAGTTTCAATATTATGACTTAACAACAGGACCAAGTAGGAGGAACAGATGGGTTGAGAGAGAGAAAACCCTTGTTCAAACAAGCCTGCCATCAGCAGGAGTCTAAGACTTGCCAACTGTAATTAATAAAAAATGTTATTTTTAAATAAATGTTACAGTTTACAGAGATTGAACATTTATCACCAAATGAGTTTTCAAAGTGCAGAGCAAGAGAACAGGTTATTTTAGATCCAACCCTGCCCAATTCACAGGGAGACAGGCCAAGAGTATTAAATCCTCTGCAGGTGGCAAAAACCACCCAATGATATATTTCAAAATCACAGCCAGAACAATTTATTTTAAAAACTATTGTTAGTGTTGTGCTTTTGGGTGCTCTGTCCCAACAAAGAGCAGGAAAGCTTAATTTCATCAGCCATTGGGTCCCCTTGTAAGCCACATGGATGTAGCAGCAGCAGCAGCTCCTAGCTCGAATTGCTAATCTCTGTGCTGGAATCAGGTGTTTGGGCAACACTGTCCCTGAGCAGCTCTGAACCCATGGAAAAGGAGATGGGAGACAGAGAAGCATCCTGTAGTTTGGACCTCATCCATGAATCAGGGAAGGGACACCCACCAAACCATTATCAAGCAGGCATTCATAACAGTTGCTGTGAGTCTTCTAACAAAAGCCACTCAAGTCAATCAATATTGATCTCTACCAAGAAGCCTTTATAACCTTGATCCTTTATAAGTGGCAAAAGCCAAGACTCAATAGCTTTTGCTTCCCAGCCTTTATCTACCCCTCAGTTTCACTATGGACACTTGCTACCTTTTGTTCTAAGGTGCTAAGTGCAAAACATGGTACGCAGCATCTTAGTTTTATTATTTGATTGTAAATCCACCTGAAAACTACCATTCTGTCTATGTCAAAAGCAGACACGAAATATGGAGCTATGTACAAATTTATCTCACATTTAAGGGACTGGGATGCTCCCACATGGATTCTTCTCACTGGAGGAGACTTAAAATGTTAAATGCACATTGCAAAGCCAAACTTCACAGTAGTTTAGAGTCTATGTTATAGCAAATGCCAACCTGAATGTGTGAAAGTAATGATAGAAGGAGGATAAGGAAATGTCATATTGTGCATCAGCGGCTGTTAGTGAAACTGCACCTCTGTCTTGACTGTTTTCCTACTTATATTGCTTATTTCCACCAATAAATCACTGAATTCAATGATTTATAACAGCTTATAAAGGCAAAAAAACATAACTGGATGTTTATGTTGTATCAAAATGGCTACGTAAGTATCGACACCTGCAGCTTGTTCAGTCCTCTCTCATAAAAAGATTCAAGTGATCAGTTTTTGTTTAAGAAGGAGATAAAAATATAGCTGTAGATACAATGGAATGCAGGTAAATACATAAAGCAAGCCCATACCATTTATATATAATAAAATATATATAAAATTTCATGGCACTGAATTTTATGCTCCTAAAATCTCCCAAGTAAAACATTGAGCTCTGTGTGAATACAAAACACCTGTAGCTTGATTTGCAAGCTCTTAGAGCCTATAACCGTTAGAAATTTGGAGCACAGTGCTCTTGCCTGTATTATGCTCACATTGAGGGCAAATAATCCAATTGCTGAGGATCATATGACCACAAAGAGTCTCCATTATTCAGCAACTGGCCAAACTAATCAATATTTGGATATTTTCCAGCTCACCATGAGCAACACAAGGTCACACAAAACTGATTTGGTAACAGAGGCTGTGTTTTTAAACTGTAGAGAGAAAAGCACCCCAATTCCTCTCCAAGTCTGAAGTGGGGCTCCTGCTTTTTGCTCTCAAGGAAACTAAACGTTAGCTCTCCGGGCTATGCTAAGAACTATCCAAAACCCAACTATTTTACTTTTAAGTAGTATTTCTTCTGTCTGGAAGCAGAATGTTAAAAGATCTGCCTTCCGCTTTGATCCAGAATCCAGCCAAACCAAGGAGTTGTCTGTTAGCTTCTGTGAGATTTTGGTAAGGCCCTTAAGAGTGGCCCTGTTTTCAAAGACGTTGGAATCCCAGCAGCTTCCCACACAATTTGGTGAAAGCTGCTCAATGTGCGATGCTTTGTAAACACAGGGATTTGTGTGGGATATGAATTAATGGAATTCCCATTTTTAAAAAATATGGCTACAGTTATTCCTAATCTTGCTCCCAGGCCTTCAAAGAAAGCATTTAAAATCCAAAAATCTCTTTATCAATGTGAATCTAAAGGCTGATCCCAACTGAAGTGCTGGAAGCTGATCAAGCTCTATATAAGCAGGTATTTTAAGTCAGTAAACTTGAAGATAATTCTTCATGTCGTGATCCCAGTGTACAACAGAAACCTAGCTATTTGCAGCGTAGTTCCCCAAAACCTCAGTGGATTGTGGCAACGCTGCCGGAAGGACAGCAGAATAGTTTGCTTACCTGTCAAGGTGAGACATGACTGTCTTTGAAGCATCAGCCCCAGCTTCCTGCAGAATGCGAATAATCTGGAAAGGTGCATCGCTGTTCCTGCCAGGATGGATGATAACAGGGCACCCAAGCTGTGACTGAGCCTGCGCTGTTGCCTGAAGCACTCTCTGTTCACTCTGAGTCAAAGGCCAGGAGCAACCTATTTCTCCCACCACACCACACTTTATGTTAGTCCCATCCGCTCCATTGAGTATCTCATCAACAATAATGCCTGTAAGCTAGAGAACAGGAAAATGAGATTTTTTGTTATTAACACTATTTCTGTTAAATAGCATCAAATTCGGCCTACGGACACTATACTAGTTATACTCTCGAGGTCTTTCTGAACTTTTTTAATTAACAGTTGGGTGTGTGAAAATACTGCAGTTAAAATCTGGTTTCTGTCAACTGATGTTATGCCAGCCATTCACTAAGACCAAAATAAACACAGAAGCAAAACAATTTAACAGTAACCATTCACACAGTTGTCCAGGTTTGCCAAGAAAGCTGGTTTACATATAATTTGAATACTGATTTAGGTTGAGACTGATTTTTCTTTCAAAAAAAAAAGTTAGTTTATCATGAAACTTGTGCCTCGCACTCCTGAATTGGCTCCAGAAAGAGTTCAGTGTAATTTCTTGCGAAACAAGGGATCAGAGAACAAGGAAACCTTGTCATTCAGATAGGGAAGGGAGAAACTCTGGCAAAGATCCTGAAGAGACGAGGTTAAGGTGAATCCTGCTTGTGGGAACGCTGATGTAAAACAACAGGAGCTCCACTGACTTCAGAACTACAAGAACAAAGCTCAGCTGACAAATTTACAGGGTCAAAATTACTTTGATTTTAAAATACTCTCAGGCAAAAAAGACATCAGAATCTCCTAATAAAAGCAGTTTGCTACAAAAGCTTTAGTTTTTCTTTTCCAGAATAAGCCACTTATCTTAAAACATACATTCAGAATTGAGAACACAAAATTGCACTGATGATGACCTTCTAACTCTTTGGCCCTGAATGTTAAGAAAATCATTATTTTAGGGAAGGATAAAGTGAGTAAAGGAAAAAGGAAGTTTTCCAAGCAAATCCAGGAAACCAAAAAACCACAAACCAATTTTCAAATAAGTCTGTAACTTATCTCTACTCCACACATTGTCTCCTCTACAGCCTCATACAACATATTAGTAAATAATCTACACATGAAAGTCAGTCCAAGCTATTACAATTTACAGCAGGCTTCGGCCCCACACTTTCTCCTATGATCACATGTCTTCTGCTTCATGTATGACCAGTCTACCAATCATTTCTGTAGGTAACCAGATACAGAATTCACTCATCTCCTGAAGAACATCTCTCAAAATATTCAATTTCTCTTTGTCTAATCAGAAAACATATCAACATGTCAAATTCACTGGCAAATAAGGAACCACTGCTTATCACAGGTCAGTCACCGCACAACCCTTTCTAAGTAACTGTCTTCTGGACCGGATCAGGTATTGATTACCTGCTGAGTACAGGACATCTGTGGGTCTCCAGCAGTCCACCAAATATAGAAGGGAAAACTTTGCCCCAAGAAATCTATTTGTATCAATTTTCAAGCGATGGAAGAACATTTAGGAAAAGTAGTACTGTTCTGTACAGCTTGGACCAGCTTGGGTCCAGTGCGGCTGGCAGTGCTCCTCAAGTTTTGATCATTGATTTTTAAAATTAATTTGACTCATTTGTAAACTGTGACAGACTTTAAAACAATTTTCTCAGCTCTGTTCATCTGCATTCACAGCCTCCTGCCTTGGAGAGTTCCCTTCCCTCTTCTCCCTATCATCACATTTTCTTAATAAAAGATGAATGAATATCTATTATTATAGGAATATCTGGGGACCTCAGTCATTATTAACACATTGTCTTAGGCACCAGACAAACAAACTGATGGTGGACTCTGCCCTGAAAAGTCTGGACCAACAGTAGCGAAGAGAGATGTAACACACAGCCTGAGCAGAGCAATGATTTATAACTGTCCTATAAATACTGCAATTATTTATGCTTTTTACAAGAATTCTGGGTCATCTCATCAGGAACCAATTAGCCAGAAAAAGAGACAAAAAAGGCAGAAGGGATATACTCCTTCCTTAAAAATTGTAAAAAGAACAGGATAATTGGTGTTGTACCAGATGCCCACACATGAAGCACTTCATTTTCCTTTTACTGTTGCATTGTAACAAATCCCTGTGAGAAAATGGAGCTGAAGAATAGGAAATGCTGACAGATAACCCCAGCACACACAATAGTGCTGGTTCAGCTATAATACACAACCAGTAATGCTGTTCCCAAGTTTGAGAACTTGTAGATTTCATCTGTTTTGCTGGAACTTCTCTCCAACTTTGACTCACCTAGGGATAATTCATAGGAGAGAGACACTGAAGCAATGGTTAAGACTTACCTGCTCCACTGTCATGGCCTGTGTTTGAGAAGAGTGAGTGGAATCCACATAAAACCCAGCCCCAGCAATAATATGGACTCCAGTTTCTTCAGCAAGTTTCTTCAAAGTATTCACATCCCGACCAATTCCTGTGGTTGTGTTTTCCACAATTGTCCCACCACCTGCTGCTTTAAAATGCAACAGCTCCTCCTTCACAGCATCTGTTTCCTGATACAAAAGAAGGTTTTCTTTATGGCTGTAGGGATTTTGCTTAATCCAAAACAAGTTCTTCATCTCAATGGGGCCATCAGACAGAGGCTCTTGGCCTGAAGAAGGTGGACAAAAACAGCTGCTGTAGTTCATAGTCAAGTGTTCATGAGTCAACGTACAGCCAAGGTGGTCTGGCTCCACAGGGCCCAAGACAGTCTGCGCTTTACCTCTCAAGGAAAGCATTTTTCTTCAACAAAAGGGAAAAAAAGAAGATCAGATTCTAAAAGAGTCTGGGAAGGAAGAAGAAAGGAAATAAAAACACTTCAGAAAGAGCAAACCTTTCTTATACAATTTCTGAATTCCCTCCTCTCTCTCACGCATGTACCCACACGCTGCGTGTGTTTGCTGGAATGTGTTCAAATGCTGTTTCCAGTAGAGTGGTCAATATGAAAAACAAAGTGTTTATTTTACCCAACTGCGCTTGTATCAGTACTCTAGCAATGTAAGAATATCACATTCCAGTACAAGGAAATTGTCATCATTTATTGTGCTATAGTCAATATCACATTAAGATAAATGTTTCTTATTTAATAACAACGACTGTATGTTCATTTAGGATTCTCTGCTCTTCAGCAGCTGTCAAATTTTGTCAGTTTGAGCCACCAGATGAACATATTGGCACCAAGGCTGAATATTCCTTACTGGTACATTCAGTTTATTTATCTGTGTCCTCCAAGAGTCACTGTCCCCTCACATGCTGAGGAAGCTGTCCATGTTTGGGAACCTTGTCTGCCTCTCTCTATGAGGAACGCAGGGATGGGGGTTAGCATCTGCTCCTTCGGCTTCAACAGGGGCTCAGGTTCTCCTGCCAGCTGCTCTGTGGAGGTCTGGAACAGTCCAGGACCACTCCTCCAAGGCTGACAACAGTCGCTGAAGATACAGTGGGGTCCTCAAAACAGTGGGGCAGAAGCCAAAGTGCTTTTCCCATCAGCTTCATTGGCCAAATATTTTACCAGTTAAGAACAGACCTTAACCTAACAATTCATACAGCTCAGCTTCTAAGAGACTTTTTGCTTCATCTTTAACACGAACAAAACAATGTTTTTTTCTCAGAACTTCAGATGAGTAGTGACAAAGGCATACATTGAGGCTACCGTCTCCAGTTGGTTCATGTCAGAGGCGTCTGCCCTGTGCAAGTTTGGCCTGACTCACTGCAGGTTAGAATGAGCTGCAGCTCTCCCCACTGGGATTTGGGGGTATTTTTTTTTCTTTTGGGAGTGAGGGTGGTCCTTTTCATTTATGTGCCATATTAACATTAAACTTAGCTGAGTACCCAGTTCATGTTAGATCTTCCTGATGCTAGTTGCAAATGCTTGAGGATATATAGTTATAATCCCTAGTCAACCAAAATCATCGGTTATGAAACAAAATACATGTTTAATCATGTCCAGAGGATAGGACTAACTAGAGCACATGCATTACTGATTAAAGAGAGAGGTCTTTCCCACTTCTGTGCCCCTTTTAGTGAATAATATCATAAACATGGGTTTGTTACTGGTGAAGCCCTCAGAGGACATTTTCCTTTTAACTGCTAAAGTTAATCTAGCAGGATGTCAGAAAAAACGAAATCTGAAGGGCACTGAACTCTACATATCAAAGGGCACACAAATACCGAGATCTCTTTAGGGATACTTTCATCTCACGAGCAGCTGTCATTGTCAGAGTACCAATGTACAAAAGTGATCCAGCCCCTGAAAAAGGCAGGTATCACCTGCCTAGCGAAGTCTGTACCGCTGGCAGTTATTTTAATATGAAAACTTGGCCATCCATAAGAAAGAGAAAGGACTGACTGACTACGTTTGCTTGCCTTTTGTAAAAGCAGACTTAGGAAGAACTCTTCTTTTATGAATGTGATTTCTAGACTAGTGTGTTGACTTGTTTGAGAAGACAGGAGAATAATTACTCTCATAAAACAGACTGCTGGCTGATTAATATAATGATTTATTTTTTGCCAAATAAATTAAGAAGTGCATGATTTCAGAAAATATTATTATTGAGCAAATAATTAAAAGCAAAATACCTGTCTTAGTCAGAAACTGCTGCTAGCTGCAACTCAATTAAATTGTCCAACCCAGCCATTAATTCTATCCTTGAACAAAGCTCATGCTCTATAGAGCAACCCACTATTTTGGAGAAAGTTCAATGATCTGTGTAATTCTTATATGCACAGCAAAGAGACTAACATAATTCTAAGATAAATGCACCACCTTTGATTATTTTTTTGCCCCCCTTTTTTTTTTTGCCCTTAAATATCTATACTCTAGTATTCAGTAAAACCGTGACAGCATAAAAAGTGATAACTACTCTCTGCATTGGAGACACACTTCTTTCCCCATATTCATTTGGCAATTTTCAAATCCATTTATTAAGTTAAGAAAACAAACCTATATAAATATTTTGTTATACAACTAAATATATAAGTATTGAAGTGATTTTGATAAAACTTGACACAAATTGATTAGTCTGTTTCCTTAACAAGTTTCCACTTCAGTTTTTTAGTTATTTAATAGTGCAGTTACTCAAAAAGGCCACTGTAATTGAATGTGAATTTTTGCTCACTTTCAGATTACTACTTCGATAAAAAGTTAACTTTCAACATTTGTTCCCACTAATCCCTTTCTGACACAGTTAATTTAGATTACCCTCAATTAATCTCGCCTGCCCACTGTGAAGACCTATGGTTGCGCGTGTGAGATCTTCTTATAGCCTGAGGCTGCTGTCTCCTGATTTATAACAGCAGGAAACATCTAAAATTACCAGTTCCAGTGCCAGGCTCCTCTTGTAGCAGATACCAATCTGTTGATCTTTTGACTCTACATTTCAGATTATAGCACACATACAGAGTTTACAGAACCAATGCCTACTATTGAACCTTTTGATTGAGGCCAAGGATTTTTATAGATGCAAGAAGTATCACAAAAATGGAAACTGACACAAACAGCATTTCAAGGAGGCCTAATTTTATCTGCATGAAAAATATGATTAATATTAATGTCTGTGCCTGCTTACTAACACGGTTTTAGAAGCTCACTGCTTTTAATAAAAAAAATTATGAAAAATAAAGACAGGCAACAACCTGTGCCTGGAATTATTTTTTAAAACCACCATCCTGATATCTTCCCTACTGTCATTTACATAGACAGCATGCCCTGATTATGCTCTAATGATACATTATTCCTAATAAGATTCAATTGATGGAACCAGAATTTAATTAATGTCTTTAAAACAGATTTTAGGTGCAAACAGCTTTTAAATGGAATAAGGACTGCTGCTTAATTTAAGCATGTGTATGTTACTACAGAAATCAATGTTAATGTGCTCTACTAATGACTTGCATGCCACGTTTTACATAGAAGTTTCTTCTGAGAAAGTTTATTCTTTCGTACACCAAGGACTGAGCTCCGGTCACCTCATTTAGCCATCTAAAATGATGTATGTCTTCCACAGAATAATTGTCGAGATCATTTTCATAGTGGAGATGGAAAGATGTATCCATAGGCAACTCATCCAGACTATTTTGAATGTTTGTAACAGGATAGGACAAGTCACTTTCTGTAATATTGGCCTCCTTCCATGGACTATAGAAGGAGCCAAGAAACAAGTATATCTTTGATGGTCCTACATAAGATATGTGAATTATATTTCCTGAATCTTAACCCAGTCTAAGGGGAGGGGGAAAGCTGCCGAATCCTATGACAAAAGATGAACGTGTAGGCTCTTATCTGGCAATAACACTTATTTTGGTTTTGGAAATCACTAATTCATGCTGTGGTATCGCCAAGGTGCTCATGCAAAGAAATAAATGGTATTTCCTGAAAATTACATATTCAGATAAAAAGAAAATGAGAACTGCTTTAAGATATAACCAAAACTTATATTATTTCACGACAGCCTTGAAACAATACCTTAACATTGCTGTAATAAACTCTGGACAAATCTTTACAATCACCAATTGTATGGTGCATAAAATACAACTCTCACCATTAGCCAACTATTAAATACCACTGAAGTAAATATTTTTCCTAGAGGTATTGTTAAGAGAAAAGAGACTTTCTGCTAAAAAGGTCATGGTACTGCATTCCTGACTCTCGTAAAAATTCCACTGAGTTCAATAGATGTTTTGCCTGAATACTGATGACAAGATTTGTGTTTTCGTGCTTCCCATCTGAAACTTGCGCTTCAGTCATTGTGTCATTTTAATGGTCTTGTAATGGGAAGTCTCCCTAGGTTTGGATTAGTTGATTCCTACAGTAATCTCATATTGCTGAAACATTATAATCGCATAAACACAGTTTCCACATGCTAATGCTGCATTTGTTTTGATTCGGTAAGCACATTTTAATGGTACTAGCACAGATTCTCTCTAGACTTGTATGGGAATCATTTTATTGCCATTACATTACAATATGAGATTATAGCAACGCTAAATCCAGATTGCTGTGACACAAAATTTACAAAAAAGCAAAGAGAATGGCTCAATAGGTATTTATTGTATTCAGAGAAAGTTAAATACAGTTGCCATTTAGAAACAAAGGCTGCCCTGGCTGCATCAATAGCACTGTAAGTGGGTCTTTCCTTTATAACCATGCAGTCCTAGGAAATGTGACATAGCACAGGTTTGCTATGTATTTACAGATGGAGGAAATGATTTGAGCATTCATTTCTACCGTGAGCATGGAAAAGCCCCAAATTAGAAATATATGACACATCTGCAGTAAATTACCATTTGCTAGTCTATGCTGTGTTATCTCACCATTCCTCACACGTAAACATTTTGCAATGAGGGAAAAAATTAGTAAGACAAAGGAAGAGGGGAGGCAGAGGGTAAGAGAACATGCATAGACTATGTCAGGAAGAATTAAAAAAATTAACTTCTTTCTCTCTTCCCTTATGCTTCTGCCAACTCTGTAAAGGTTTACAGGGTGGAAGGAACTCAATACTGCCAGCATGGCTCTTCCTCTTCCCCACCAGATCAGCAAGTTTTCTAACTTCTCTGACAGATGGGTGCCAGACCTACTATACCGTCTTCAAAAATTTATTCAGGAGTGCTAATTACAGGACAAACATGCCTGAAACCCAGACCTCTCTCATACACTGGTTTCAATAAGCATGGCTTATGCACAGTGTTAGGGAAGTGCAGCTACAAGGGCTGTGGAGCAGAGTTCACCACAGCTGGCTGAGTGAGAGAAGCAGTAGCACTGAACTTGCATCTGCTCCAGGACAGATACAGG